AAAAAAAATGATGTCCTAAAAAATAATGTTGTAGGCTGGGCACCTAAACCCTACGTGCCCGCCTTCCACGAAAACTTGGGGAGCTAGGCCCCCTAAACCCTAAGCCGGGTTTCCCCTAATCTTTTGGGACCTCGGCGCCTAAACCCTATGCCTGGCTTCCCCTTTGGGGGGGCCTAGGCAGGTATATCCTAAACCCTAAACCGCCCTGAAACGAAACCACCCCACACGGCAACCGCAACCCTACGAACCCGGGTCAGGTGGGAGTGGGGGTGAGGTTTGAGCCATTCCGTGCACGTCTATATACACGCCTCTGTACAAAGACATGCCAGACAAGGGGGAAAGCATTTTGGCCGTAGTGACATGACAAGCCTCGAAACCACCAAGCACAGATGAGAAGCATGTTGGCAATGGTTCCTGCATACACAAAAACATGCCAGACGAGGCCGGAATGCATTTTGACGTTCAAAGTCCAAAGTCAACTGTTGCACTGGTGCCCAAGGCCTTCGGACCAAATCATTCGGAAAGGCCTCGCCCTCAGAGACTGAATGTTTCAGGAAAGGCAAATCGCTCAGGAAGAGACTCGGGGCCGCAGCAGCGTGCCAGGAGACCAAGAGACCACAGGGAAACTACCGGGAGACCACCGAGGGACTACCAGAGAAGACTCCGGACCGCCGGCAGAACCCAGGAGACCGCCCGAAGACCACGACGAGACGACCAAGAGACCACATGACGGAGAGACGAAAGGCTTCCGGCCTGGCATTTCATGACCAAATCCTGGCCCATACGCAGGCGGGGTAACGTCCTTTCCTCTCACTCCTGCGGGGTCGGCGGCTTGAGCCGGAGGCTCTCAAATTGCGCAGGCTTCGACCCTGTTTCTGAAACTCCAACGTGGCTTCGACAGTGTTCCGTCCTCAACCCTGGATCCTGGTATTGTCTGGCAGCATCAAGCTGAAGAGTAGTTAGATTTGCATTGAATATCAACTCTCCTTCCATAACGCATCTCCAACAGAACCAGAAGTACCCCCACCTTGTTCCCGGACGAGACTTCTACAAAGCGCTATAGCTACGAAGTTCTAGGCCCCAGCACTCGGGCCTTCTGTATTTGGCTTTCGTGGCTGCCTGCTGCTGAAACAGCTGCACGCACACCGTCCAGGGCGACGACCTCCCCAAATCAAGACATAAAGAAACCGTCGAGGACGACGCGAGCAGGACTGTGCCGACGATTCGACGACAGCCCGGCAGCGGCAGCCCCAGGAGTCTCCGCCCGAACCCCATAACGGCGCGCCGAGCGATTCTCATCTTCAGCACCGGTATGTTGCGGTTCATCCACCTTAGCCTCATCAGATTGATTCACATAACAGCCAGACACCATCAGAGCGGCGCTTGACGCGAGGAAGAAGGGAAGATATCGCAACCGCTATCTACACTGACGCTACTTGTCCGACTTGGAATCCTAAACATCAGCGGTGACTTCTACTTCTGCTGCTTGCAACACGAGAAGACCTGAGCAAGACTAAACTCCGCAACCCTCTTGGGTTTGGCAATTCTTGGAGCTGCCGCCTTGGTTGACAGCGGCATGCCAGGAGCTAAGGAATCCGCCAAGAGGCTCACCTCAGGTCACAGTCGTTTGGGCCCTGTGCCGTCCCTTCATTTTTGACAAGTTTGCAGTACTTTGCAGTAAGGGTACTCGCATGGAAAGTCAAAGGACCGGCTCGCAAACGCAGGTGACACGACAAGGTATGATTGCAAGGTACTGGAACATCCTGGAACGGCTTCAGCTGCAGTACATGACCGCACTAGAAACTGCAAAGGCCACAGGATATCATCAGTACAGCGGGCGATGCCCGCACTTAGCATGGCGAGAAATGGAGAGTGCGGCAGCGCCACTGCCAGCGCTCAAAATATGAAAAGCAGACTGGAACAGATTGGAGCCCTAGACCCCACACCCTAACTACAAGACCTACATGGCACATCGTATTTTGTCAGCAAAGCTGACTTTCCTATTCTTCGGAGATCCAATTATCTTTTTGATCTCTGTCCGCTTCTACCATTGCCATTCAATCGTCTAAGCAGTCCAAGCTCGATTCCTGATGGCCAGCCTTATGCCACTTATGCCCAATGCCTATGTTGTGGGAACGACTCATTCAGTCAAACTCAATGCGCTGCATATGTCGACATCGGAACACGCCCAGCCGCCCAGCTAAGTGCGCCGCCGCCTGCGACCACCGGCCTGGGAGGGTTCAGGAAAGTCGGAGGCTGCGCCCTCGGAGGCCAGCACACTGCTCGCAGCTCAGCTTGGGACGTGCACGCGCCAAGGCAAGAAGCGCGGCGCACTGGCCCGCAGGGGCAACCGAAAGCCCTGTGCAAGGCATGTCAACGTGAAGGTGACAGGGGGACAGGAGGGGCGGTTTGCTACCGGTGTTGTCGCAAGCTCCTACTTGTAGCCAACCCCTTTGCTGAACTCTGGTTACTTCGAAAAAGGAAAGAAAAAATCTGAGATACACCAATGGTCTGAACGCGCCCTTGCTGCCTTGCTCGGGAAGTCGCCGATGAATCACGTGAAGCGAGAGCCTTGCTAGATCTTGCTACCACTGGTGTTGCGCTGCCATATTCGAGCTTTACGAATAGTTCATGTCACTGTCCATACAGGCTTAACGTCGAGCATCTGGTTCTTGTTTGTCTGAATTGGCTTCGGAATGGAGCTTCTGAGGTCCTGGCGCCCAAACAGCTGAACCTGCAAGAGCCGCGAGCCTGGACCGAAACCCAGGGAACGTTCGAAGTATCAATCGATCCACCGGAGCAAGCATTCTTCGACCCCCGGCCCCGGAAATGCAAGCTCAAGAACAGCCAATCCGAAGCCCGGGTCGAGCCACCACCGAGCCCAAGTTTTTGAACATCCGCCGAGGTTCAGCGCATTGTACGTGACCGGCGACCGTGGCTCGTGGCAGCCTGAAAACAAGAGAAGCAGAAGACACCGAGTTGTGGTAGTGAAGTGCACTACATCGACTCCAGGGCCCAGAACACTCCTACCAGCAGGAGGTAGAGAGATCGCTGAAGGCCCCAGTTCCCCATGCAAATGGCCCTTCGTGGAAAGGGGAACGACCCGGAGGCTTCGGTCATTCATGAAGATGCGCTTCAGTTGCACATCCTTGAGGTCATGGCAATGCTATTTCCCCGTGGTGCTGTTTCGCTCAGGGCCTTGAGGGAGCTTGTTCAGATTCGTCTGAATGTCAGCTTGGTCGGGAGGCGCTCGGACATCCGCAGGTTGGCGAAGAAGGCTGCAGAAGAGTTTTCATGCGGCGATCGGCGTATTGATGGTTATGCGCCCGTGTGGGAACCGTTGCCCAAGCACAGCTGCCTAGACCGAACTTGGGCGCTGGACGTGGCAGCGTCAGATACGAAAGATCGCGGCCGGTGTCTCTTTTCGTCCTTGAGTGACTTTGGCCATGGCACTATCGACAACTTGGAAGCAAAATTCCAGAAGGCTGAGCTTCTGGGCACGAGGCACGTCGTCGGAGATTTGGGTGGTCACTGTCTTCGTAAGCCATGTCGTAGACTTTGCAGCGGTTGTTGGAAAACCCATGACATCGCTGGCACGCTCACAGGCTTCCTACCACCATCCATTCGTGCTGCAAACGACGTTTTCTGTAAGGTCCTGATATCCAGCGGCCTGGCTGAGCAGCTTGGAAAGCTCACGGTGAAGATAGCCAACGACGGGCTGGCAATGCTGGACATCATCAAGGATGGCCTGGCCAAACTTTGGGGTGGTTTGGCCAATTCCACAACCTCCCTACTCCGTGCATTGGCTCCTGAGCTTGGTGTATGGGACCCAGGCCGGGTGTTAACGCAGCAGATATTACCGCTGTTTAGTGGTGCGGTGAGGCTGGTAATGAAGGGGTCGACGCTCAACGATGGTGGCATGCAAGTCTTCGTGAACATGCTTGTTGGCAATGACATCACCTTGGAGGCTGATGCTTCCACGCCTGGCATCGGGACATGGCGAGTATCCCACGCGATCAGCAAGCGCCTCATCTTCGTTGTTTCCTCCTCTGAGAGCATCGAGTGAGCTTGAAATTTTGTCCTTCGGGTTCAGGGTTCAGTTTGGAGACGGTTTTTTCGGACAGACCGGCCGGGTACATCTCCTTCTGCCCTTCCCGAGCTGGCTTGTGCAGGTGACATTTCAAGCGTGGCAGTTGCAGGCTTTCGTGGTTGTTCATGGAGCTCGCGGCCCGCTTTTATCCCAGTTTGCCTTGTGAGTAGGCTGAGTCGGCAGATTTCTGCTCCAGGGATGGATTCCTCGTGTACAGGCATGAGGCTTCCTTGAGGGCAAACTGCTTCAAACTTTTAATTAAATGCAGTTTGAATTCATCTTGCTAGGCGAGCGTCGTTTACCGACTCTACCGCTGAGAATGAAAAAAACATCGACTCCTGGCAGGGGGAGATGTCTTGAATGAGCAAACATGAGTTTGACATGCAAGCTCTTCTGGTTTTGCAGTGCTTCACACTGCGCGGACTTGGTGCGGAAGAATCGGTGCAGGTGGAGGCCTTTGAGCCTCCCGTGTTTCAAGCTGGGGACCCGTCGCTGCGGCGTCAGTTCTCAGTGCTTCCACACTGCTAACACTAAACCCTTTTCTTGTTGGTGATTCGTCGGCTGCTGGACATTGCCGAGACAGGCTTCCTTCAGTCGGTGGATGATGGCTTGCTGCAAGTGACCGATGACGGAGTGCAAGCCAAGAAGCCTAGTGTCCGTGAGAAGGATTTCTGCAGCACTGACGGTTGTTGTTTATTTGTTCATTCTCCCGGTTTAGCGGGGCGAGGGTGAGTCCAGGCCTATTTCCCGAGATCCGTGGTTGAGCAGTTCAGATTGGGGTTTACGGTCGCGGTTGTGGGTTTAGGGTTTCCAAGGCGTGGCGTGTACCGAAGCCACTAAACAAGGGCGTGAGCGAAACTATCGCCAACGGAATAAGGATTAAACCGCTCCTCGACTAAGAGCCCAGAAGCCAATTTTTAGGGTTATGCTGCCAATTACTACCACGACCTACGACCAAAGAAGTCCCTCCAAAACGCAAAACTTTTAGTCGCCTTGGCCGCGGCTGAATCGTGAGAGTCCTCCTCCCCTCGCGAAGATGGGCCCGTATGGGTCTTAGATGAAGCTAAGCTATACTACATACATACGTACGCGCAAAACATGCATCAACACCTAGACAAACGACGCATCGGAACACCCCTTCCCAGACCTATTTCAAGACCAGTGGCCGGGTCCAAAGGCACTTGTTGTTACGCCATATGCGCGCGCAATGCAGGGACCGACTCGGCAGCACATTTAGTCAGAAAGTAGTGCAGTAAGTTGCACCTCTAAGCCGAGACTATGCATTTAAAGGCAGCTGGCCATTGAGCTTTGCAGGTCGCCCCAGCTGTGGGCCGCAAGGCTTGATGTCAAAACATTAGTTACTCCCTGCTTGCACCCCAATCTCCGCAACCAGGCAGCTGCCAAAGTTGCCCGGACTTGTCATGACTGTGCGGTGCCACAGGCCTTCTTTGCTTCTCTCCAGCTGATCGACCAGCTGAAGAGCCTGCCAGCTCTGCAGGCCGATGACGTGCTACAAGCGGTGCTGGAAATTCTCAGGATCCTTTCACAGGATCCAGTAACCCCCTCTGGTCCTAGGGCTACCGCATCGGCGGTGGCCTCAACCCAGCGAAAGTTCTTCTCGCAGGCGCTGACCTCTTCGCGCCACACTCAGCCATGCATATGCTCGACAGTGTAGGACGAGGCAGAAATGACCGGGGTCTTGCGCTTTCACATAGGAGCGGATGCGCGTCGCTCGTACCGCTCATCTCTGTGGCTCTGGGCAGCAAGCCGTCGAATTATAGGTCACCTGGCATCAACATGTTTGAACTGTAGACGGATTGACGCTGTGCCCACACTCGACAAGGCCGGGTTTATTCAAATTTCAATCCGGCATCGAAGCACCACGTTAGGCCGCACAGAGCGCAGCGACATCTCGGAGAAGAGCGCAATCGCACGGCGCCACCTCGAGACTGACACTCAAGCTCAGATCGAGCCAGCAGATTCTGCAGTAACCGCTGTTTATTACACTGACTCCCTGTTAGCATCCTGCGGTCACGAGCCGTCTGAAATCATCCAGGAGGCTGCATGCCCTTCTCGCAAGCACTGATGCTGGCATTGTATACCTCGCGATCTCTTCCAAGTGCTTTGCTTAGCCGAGCCCAAGCTTTGCACTCAACCCAGTCTCTGAGAACTCCCATTCCTACAGTAGACACCTTCTGCCGTTCGGAAGGTGCTTCAGATGACTGAACCTCTCAGTTCCCACCTTTGGGAATGCTGCAGTGATAGAACGGCAAAGGTGGGTGTCCAGCAAGAGACAGTCACTCTGCAGGCGCACGACGGCATCGGATTTCAAGCCTCGATATTGTGGCGGGCAGGCAGACTGGCAGGGACCACAACGTGAGACAGCAAGACAGGCTCGGCTGTTCATCCTGCCGAGCCCATGATCGGAGGCTGCAGTGAGGGCACGACTGCAAGATAGGGATCAGATCACGTCTAGCCGTGTAGCTGCGAGCTAGCAACAGGAGACTCCGAACCCCTCTTCACCTCTTCTTGACAGCAGCCGGGTGCTCGCGCCTCTGCGGCTCATATCCCGAAGAAAATGAAGAGCCAGGTGCCAAGCATGTCCCTGACTCCACCGGGCACGGTTCGAAGGTGCTCAACAAAGCATGAGGGTCGAAAGCTCAGTCATGGGAGATGCTGCACCAACGCCCGGCCGAGCCTTCTCACAGGCACTTGTCGCCGCGCCTGCAGCACTAACTCGTCGCAAATTCACAAGAAGCTGAAGCAGTCGGAGCAGATCCCTCACAAACACCATGTGCGCGAAGTCAGAGTACGGTGACGAAGTTTAAGCACTCCTTAGACTGTCAGGCCGACGGCGACATGTGATTCAGAATCCTTGTTGTCAACAAGTACAGGACGCTGCCTTAATCGATGTGTTGCATTGGAGCGTCTAAGGACGACACGGAAGGTTTCACTACGAGCCGACAGCTTGCGACGGTTGCTGGGTCCCGTCGAATTGCTCACCGTCGGAACTATGGGTCAATAAATTCATTGCACCCGAGGAACTAAAGTCAATTACAGCCCAAGACTCGCTGTGCTTCAAGCCTGATCACGCCTAATCCGTGAGGCACCAGGGACCGCACTCCATATCCACAAGTCAGGGCGTAGCTTCAGCTGAATCATCCTAGGTTACAGCTGCGAATTTTCGGTCGCTGGGAGTGGAATCTGCTGCCGAGCCGAGAGTCTTCCGCAACAACAGTAATCCCTGTTGCCACTCCAAACCTGCAAGCAGGAAAGCTCAAACTTTGAGGCGACACGCCTTATTGGTGGTATGCTTCTGGCCTCTGGAGCATGCACCCATCGCGGCTCCTCGCTTCGCTTCGCTGTGTCAGTCCGACGGGCCAAGACAAGCATGTACGTAATGCCAGACACAATGCAACGCATTTTCTCTCTCTGTCTGTCTGTCTCTCTGTCTGTCTGTCTGTCTGTCTGTCTGTCTGTCTGTCTGTCTCTCTCACTCTTCTTCAACTCAGCTACAGGAGAGGTATCCCCCCCCCCGCTCGCAAGCGCCCTGGTACGTTCGAGTCGGTGTGAAAGTGAGGAGCGATGAGGCGAGGCTAGGCTCTGTGGAGACCCCCTTGTACTTGTAACATTGCTAAAAGCCCCCCCAGCCTCGCAACTCATCTCTGCTCATCCCCCCGGGTTGCTCCGTGTATCTTCCACTGGGGAGCGTCTTGCTCTGTGCTTCGCAGGGCTTGCAACCAACTGACACCGCACGACTACAGACTGCAAAGCAGCTGACCAAGTACCAAACCTAGCACTGCCCCCCACTGAGCATCTCCCTTGCGAGCATCCGGCATACTAAGGTTTACTCAAGGACCGGACTCACCGCTGTGCCACCTGTCTGCGGCTGCTGTCTTTGCGTTTGGCCTGTCCTGAACCAAGCTGCTCGTACAACTCTTACTCCTATATAGCAAGGACATATACCTCCCTGCAGGCAAACGAGACGTGCTGAAGCCTTCAGTGGCGCAGATTGTCGGCTTCTCCTACGGGCTGTCCTGTGAAAGGCCCGGGGCATGCAGCTTTGGGGCAGATTGCATGAGCTGCTCTTGAAGCCTAATGCTCGCTTCAACAGAGGAGCGCACTCCCTTAAGGTCTGCCACGAAGTTGTCGGGAGACCTAGCCCCGAATCCATCCATGGCCCGTTGAACAACTGCTTCTGCATTGGCAAAGAGATTGTGAGTAACCCCGGCAACTGCAGGCTCTGCACTCTCTTTCTTTCGGAAGGGATATGGGCAAAGGGGAAGTCCTCCCCGCACTCTCTCTGTCCCTCTCTCTTTCTTCCACACAACCACTCTCTTTCTCTTTCTTTCGCCAGGGCTACGGACGAGGGTTGCCACTCTCTTTCTCTCTCCCTCTCTTCTTCTTCCTTCAGGTTAAGGGAGCGCGTCAAGCTCCCCGGCCCATGGGGCCCCCCAGCGTTCCGGGGCTTTCGGGGAGAGTCTACACGTACCAACCTACGTACCGAGGAGGGTTCGAGTGTTCGTACCAACCTGTTAAAGTCAGTCCCCCGATGTAGATAGGAACAGGGCATAAACTCTCCCTCTCTCTCCCTTCTTCTTCTTCGCCAGGGCATGAACTCCCTCTCTCTCTCTCTCTGTTTGACACACTGTAGGTCTGGGTTCCTCACCGAATGCATGCAGTCCAGGCCTGCAGTGAGTTGCAGACTTCATCTGAGACTCTCGTAGGTGCCGCCTGAGGTGCTTCGAGACATGCGCTGTGGGCCTCACCGTGGCCCACGTCGCTGCCGCGCGGCGATCGAAGCCAAGGCCTCCCTACTGGCAACCCTCTCCGAAGTTCACACTCGCGACTTACCGTTTGATTTTTTCACGAACCCCCTCTTGAGCCCTTTGGAAGCACTGCCGTCGCTTCTGCCCCGGCCGCTCCTCCAAAGGCCACCCTGATCAAAAGCCATGAGGAGGCCGTCGGCTGCCGTGGTGTCGGCACCTGCGAGCCGAGCTCTCAGCATTTCAAGTCAGTGTCCGCTCGAAACTCTCCATTTTGCTCCAGGATCTTTCCTGCTCGGAACTCCTCGGACTCCTCGCCAGCTTCCTTGCATCTGCTCAACCTGAATCCTCCAAAAACCTGCACTAGAACTTTCGTCTGGTGCGCCGTTACCAGAACGTGGCAAAGCGAGAGGTGTCCTGAATTAAGCCTGGACTCAAACTCCCCTTCCACAGCCCCGCTACGCAAGCACCGCTCACAGCTCTCGATTCGAGAGCCGGCCACAAGAGTGGTTCGCGGCGTCACGACCGAAAAGAGTGCAAGCCGTGCAAAAATTTCGAGGGTGTCGAGCAGCCACGAAAGAAAAGGCATTTGTCGATCTGCAGGCTTTCGGAGACTGCTCGGCGGGGGTTGCTAAAGTGGCTTCGGGAAGCCATCTCTTCAGCGAAAATGCTGAAAAACTCGAGTGGCCTCGGTTGCTTTGGGAAGCCAAGTACTCAACTCTGACTTGCTGCCTCTGCCGCCTGTCACACAGCATCCACGACCACGCTTTCGTGCATCTGTTTCTCCAGTCTGAGCGTGAGTTGCTCACTTTCTAGATCGTCCTGTTTTGTTGCATCTCGACTCGTGAAAATTTTACACCTTACTGGGCGCTCCGTGTGTCGGTGGAGTGTAAATAAGTGCAAGCCTCTGTACGGGGCATCGGGAAGCAACCATCGCTGCGCGACATATCATTGCGGGAGCAACTCATCAACATGGGCTGTACGCTAAAGGAAAATGCTAGGATCACAGGAAGTGATCGAGCTGGGCGGGCTCCGCGCGCCAGTTCCGGCAATGCAACTTGATAGGAAGCATCTGGCTCCAGATGACTGGCTTCAGTAATTTTTAGCATGTTGGCAGGTCTCCGGCCGGAGAAGCAGCCGTCGTGTGGGAAAATCGGATGGCACCAGAGAAATTGACATTAATGCAAATCATCGCAGCATATCGCAGCTGACGGTGCCAATTCGTGCAGAGACACACAAGTCGCCCTTGGCAAGCATCACACGCGTGTCCTTCGCCTGACCAGACTCGGGATTCTGGGTTGCAAATCCCAGCAAAGCGTGGCAGCACATTGCTATGGGTGTGACATTTGAGCACCGAGCCCTACAGCTCGTCGAGGGCGCCGCGGTGTGCTGAAAGGAGCAGCGGCACTTGCCGTACTAGCTGCGCTCAAGGTAACCTGACAAGAACAAATCGCTCGCTCGAGCCGCTAGAATGCCCGGAGTGCTGACCTCAACCTTTCTTCGCAGCTTGTGACGCTGCAGTGGCCGGACACTCTTCTCGGCGCCGAGAAAAGCCTTGCAAGCCGAAGGCGACTGTGAAATGATGGCTCCGAGCTGCAGCGCCTTCTTCTGAAAGTCCTCCATGCTGATCTCGTTTTTGATGACACGCACATAATCCATGAAGCGCATCTCGTCATGGACGATGTTCACCTCGCACTTCGCCCAGTGGTCTAGTGGAAAGCAATGAGAGTTTGCGAATGCTTGTGAGAGAGAAAGGGGTGCGAACTCACTCGCAGCTGCAAAGCAGCTTGCTGGCGATTTCTGGCTTGCGTCGTGGACCTGCTTCTGCTGGCAAGTTCTACGACGCCACGAGGAGCAAGCAGTTCAATAAACTGCCGGAAAGCTGAATTCAAGAGACTTCGGGCAGGAGCTGCAGCCCGCTTCGGGTCCACACTCTCTGCCAGAAAATGTCTGTGGAAAATACCCGCAGAAACTACACATGGCTACAACTAGCCATGAAAATGCAC